GAGCCTTCAGCACCCTGGACAGCGCCGGGCGGCAACCAGCCCCGCAGCCCGGAGCGCGGCTCTGCCCGGAGTCTCCCCCAAGATGCCCGGGCACCCCTGGAGGCGCTCCCAAGAGGCACCTGTGCCAGCTGCCATGTCTCGCCGCTGCTGCCGCCCTGAAGCACGCCGTCTCCTGGTCCAGGGGCTCGGGGCTACGTGTTAAGACATGGACTTGGCCGGAGTTCTCCTGGCGTTTTTCCTCGTGCTGGTGCTCGTGGTGTCTCTGCTGTCCAACCTCCTGGTGCTGCTATGTTTCCTCTACAGCTCCGAGATCCGCAAGCAAGTGCCCGGGATCTTCCTGGTGAACCTGTCCTTCTGTAACCTGCTCCTGACCGTGCTCAACATGCCCGTCACTTTGCTGGGGATCCTGAGGCACCAGCAACCCCTCGGTGACTGCATCTGCAGGGCGGTGGGCTTCCTGGAAACTTTCCTCACCTCCAACACCATGCTGAGCATGGCTGCGCTCAGCATAGACAAGTGGATTGCCGTGGTGTTCCCCTTGAGTTACACCAGCAAGATGCGCTACAAGGATGCCGTGCTCCTGGTGGGCTACTCCTGGCTCCACTCCCTCACCTTCCCCTTGGTCTCCTTGTGTTACTCGTGGGTAGACTACAGCAGCGTCTACGCCTCCTGCACCTTGCACCTGAGAGAGGAGACGGAGAGGAGGAGGTTCACCGTCTTCACCATCGTCTTTCACGCCACCAGTTTCATGCTGTCGCTGGTGATACTGTGCTTCACCTACCTGAAGGTGTTGAAAGTAGCCCGATTCCACTGCAAAAGGATAGACATTATTACAATGCAGACGCTGGTGTTGCTGGTCGATATCCATCCCAGGTAATCTCCCGGGGGTGTGTGTGTGTGTGTGTGTGTGTGTGTGTGTGTGCACACGCACACGCTTAGTATGTATGTGGCACAGTGTGTTCACTCGGTAGGTATCCATTGTAGGTTATATACTGGGGTATACACTGAGCATGCTGGTAATGTACTGGGGTATATGCTGGTAGATATTATCCTAGGTAATACACTGGGTGTGGTGGTGTGTGCACACACACAGGCTTAATATGACCGTGCCCATATCACACTGTGTGTGTGTGTGTGTGTGTGTGTGTGTGGTTCTCAACCTGCCGAAGCCCGTATCCAATGCGTTCAGTTGCCTTGTCTCATAGGCGCCGGGAAGGGGCCAGGTGCGGAAACTTGCTCCCACCTTCCCCCTCCAACTTCAAAGGCTCCCGTCTGTATTTACAGCCCCTTGTGTTTCATTGGGAAATGCAGTTCCCAGGAGCCCGAGGCCCCGGAGTGAGCGGGCTGGCCCCTGGGGGCTCTCAGACCGCCGTCGGGGAGGGAGCTCCGGGCGCTCCCCGGTCGCAGCCGGCCCTCGACCGCGCCGGGCCCGGGGGGCGGCTCCAGCGAGCGGACCTTTCCGCGGGGCAGGGCCCCGCTTCTTGTCCCTCGCTTCTTGTCTAACCCCGGGATTGTGGTTGTCCCTTTTCAGTGTGAAGCAGCGGTGTCTGAACGAGCAGAAAAGGAGACGGCAGCGAGCTACTAAGAAAATCAGTATTTTTATAGGCTCCTTCCTGATCTGTTTTGGCCCCTACATTATCACCAGGTGAGTTCTGCCAGGCTCCTGTGCTGGGAGCTTCCTGGGGCCAAGGGCGCGCTGACCCTCAGCCTCACCAGCCCTGCACTGAGATGGCTCCCATCCTCCCTTGCAGGGGTCTGGGAACCCTGGCTTGATTAACA